TTAGTGATACATATTAATTGCTACTATAGATATACTATCCTATATATATCTATATAATTAATATATTATATATATATATAATATACATAATATATAGAATTTATATATAATCATCGATCTATCTACTATACTATATATCATCTATGAATCATTCATTTCTCGATCTCTACTCTTACTTGTATTATATCTATATTAACTTTCTAATATCCTAAGAACATTCGCCCCCCCTATTATTAATTTAATATCTTATTCTTAATTATTTATTTCGATCTATATATACATACAGCTCATAGCACTTCACATATTTTAAATATTAATCAGCTCTGTAATATTTTAACAGCCACTAAAAATCTAATTCTGACTATATTGCCTGTGACTGCTGGCCATGATGATCTTTCGTCCGGTCGAGGATGAGGCTGCTTCTAGAGCACTGAGGAGTGTTCTATTAGGTTTCTATTGTTCTAGTGTTCTAATGGTTTATAATGGCACTGACAGACTGACTAAACCACAAAGTTCAGGAGACCTTGACACACAACCCCCCAAAAAGCACACACAGACACCATTTATAATACAGCACGCAACACCAATTTATTTACATATTTACAAAAGCGACTCTTAAAAATTCCTGAAAAAGAAGCCTATGGCTGCGCTATTATCCTACTCGCTCATCCCGCCCCACCCCCAGCCCCGACATCCCCCACACCCAACTGCCCCCTTTTTCCTTACTCTTTCACTTTCCCTTCCCCTTCCCTTTCCCTTTCCCTTGCCCGTTTCCCCCCCCCGTTGCCGCCCAAAACCCTTTTTCCTTCTCAGCAATACTTTGTCAAATACTTCATGAGACTTTGATATTTTCCTACTACTCTCTACTATACTCGGCTATTGGGCGGCAAAAAAGCTCAACCGCCCTGTTGGCACCATTTGAGTTTTTTTTTTTTCTTCTCCTTCTTTCTCCTCCTGGTCGGACTATCTCCCTCGCCTTCCCTTGACAGTATTCTGAGCTAAGGAGGGGGAGAAATAGAGAGAGATCATAGAGAGAGAGAGATGAGATAGGATAGATATATATATATCATCATCTATCGATTATTCATATCCATGTGTCATTTCTCCCATTGCGTCCTCCTCCCTTGAGAGGTCGATTGTAACATATATCATCAATATTTACCCCCAGAAGCCTCCCACCCAGCTCCCACCTCGGCCAATTAACTTTAAAAACATGCGATGTGTGGATTAGCCTGTCATGTAGAGAGATGAACCTCAACTCTGCCATAGGATATGGAAACTAAAACCTACATTTAAACACTTATTAAATATTGAGGGCCAGGACATTACTAAACCTCAAGATTATGCTACATGTAATAAGATAATACAAATAAATATGTAATATATGCTCCTACTGTTTTTTTTTTTTTTGGGACCACACAGTTTTACGTAAAATTAATTGGGCCATTAAGATGCTTTACTGTATGACTATAATTTTGAATTATTTGATTGTACTATCTATATTATATTCTATAATATAGGGAGCGAATACGTGTGTGTGTGTGTGTGGTGTGTGTTGTGTGTGTGTGTTGGTGATGTGTGTAAGAGAGAGAACACTTTCTCTGGGTGTCGTCAGTGATCTCTTCCTACGAGGCCTGATAAGCGAGGGAAGCGACTCACGCAGAACAACGATAATCTCGTGTGTGTGTTTGTGTGTGTGTTTGTAACGCGAGACCATAGTCTAGGGACATTTTGGTGTCTTCTCTCATTCCTCACGACAAACTTACGTACTACAACAGAAAAAGAGGGGGGGGGACAAGAAGGGGGGGGTGAAAGGAGGAGGGAGGAGAGCAAAGACGAGAAGAGGAAAACGGGACTGTGAATCAAAAGACAATTCTCGATGGTCTCATATTACCGGGAAAAATTTTCCTGACCGGAATAATGCCGTTCCCCATAGAAGTAGGACAACAGGCCTTTGCCAAAAAAACGTGTGGTGGGTGGCCAAGACGGAAGACGCGTGGCGGGATTGCACATATGTAAGCCTACTCTTCGCGATCACTAATATTGCCACATAAGGTTTCCTACATATTCTTAGGACAAAAGTATAATAAAGAGAACATAATAAAAAGAGAACAAACAGAAATTCTTCAAAAGTGAAATAGAGATAAAACAATAAGTACAGCTGTCGACAAGTACGCATTATTGTCTCTCTCTATTTCTTGGCAGAATTGTGTGCCATTACTAAGGGTGTTCTTAATAATGTTGGCAAAGCACCATAAGTTCGTTACTAAGAGCAGGGGGCAACCACCAAATTTGGGTCATCAAAGCACTTATGAGTGTAGGACAAGTGATAGATCTCAGAAGCAGTTTACAAGCAGGTGTGCCTATGAACCAATGATATGGTATTATAATGAATCAAACGATCGGTGTGGTTCGTGTTGTAATTTGCATTACCGGTCGAATCCTCTCATCAGAGAAATAGTGTATAATAGCTAATAACGACTGACTGGCCAGTTCGATCCCATCCGAGGGTCAGCTTACATCAATAGAAACTGTAACACATTATAAGTGAAAATATCATCGTAGATTTCTTAGGCTAACTGATCGGCGGGGAACATTTCAGTTACTTTTTCTCCTCGTACGACCCTAACTATTGACTCAGACGCTATCTGTAGGTAAGAGATTCACTTGATGGTAATCAAAAAAAGGCTTATCCACAGCAATCAATTCAAAATCGTTCTTCAGTGTCTCTTTACACACGACCACACAGCACAGTCCACACACATCCACCACACACACACACAGTACAGAGTAGTGGGGAGCTGTCATTTGCGCTCCCTATAAGAGAGATATGATGAGTAAGTAGGGGAGAGTTGACAGTAGAGAGAAGATAATAGTGGAGACTGAGAGTAGCTATACATGTTGTAAGAATAATAGTAAGTTCCATGAGGAGGAGCATGCAGAGGGAGTGTGACTGTGAGGAAGATTTAGTTAGGGCGAAAGGGAAGAGAGGGGGGCGGGTTGGGTGTGGTAAATAAGCAGATAAATATAGCAATATTATAGCCTTATCGGTAATTAGGTGTTGTAGTTTTTAACAATGTATCATCAATCTGTGAGGGTTTAGTATATGTATGGTCACACGTACACGGGTACATTGCTAGTAACAGATATTGTGTGTTCAAACTGGACTCGAATCAAGCATATTAACTCAAGGGCAAAAACAGTAGGTGACAGTCTTATAGGGCCTCAATGACAGTAGGCGCAGTGCTCGGGGTACTCAGGTCGAGCTCGTGAAGTCGTGACGTATATGTGACTCTGTAAAGAAATATCACAATATGTTACGGATCGTTGTAAGAGAGGTTGACAGTTATGCTGATCGTGACAGTAGGGCGGAGCTGGTGGCGGAAGCGCGGGGGGGAGTTACGAAATCGTGTCAATCTAATGTGGTCACTGACTGATAGCTCATTGTGTAGTAGCACTGGCAGAACTCTTACATGCTGCCTGTAACGCCATTGGGTTAGTCTCCTGCCCTTTGCGTTCCCGGGTTCTCTCTCTTCCATCCGTCGTCGGTTGCTCTCTTCTCGTCTTCTGCTCTCGGTCTTCGCTCGGAGTGGTAGATATAGCGCTCAGGGACATGTTGTGTCTCGCTCCCCGTCGGACCCCTCTACGTCAAAATTATTCACACATGCTGTAAGTCGCTTATGGATAAAAGCGTAACTGCTAATGCATATTATTTCTATTATCACTAGGCATTCATGTAATACGCCACAAAGTGCCATAAACCCCTCCCGATGTATCTACAAATTTATCTCGTTAAACAATGTTATTTTATAAACCTAACTCTAAACTTAACCACACTGCTAAACATATGCCTAACCCAACCTAATAAAGCTAAAAAAGCAAAAATTTAAAATTCCGCATTATTGACTATGTGGCTTTGGAAATCTGACGTATTGTGACGTAGTGGAAAAATAATGAATCTTGTGTTAGCATATTAGGAAGTCTGGGCGGAAACCTCTCTGAAACTGGGACAATTACCCAAGTAGAGGTGGTGGTGAGAATAATATGGGCATTGCGTGTTTCTTTCTCGTCCATCTCCTCGGTCATCCTCCGCTTCTATAAGAAGTATGACAGCGCCTCTCGGTGCTATTCATAATTGGTCACGCTCTCACTAGATTGTCTAGCAGGAGGATGTACATTACCTGATACTACTCGTAGTACAAAGACGACTAGATGTATTCAATCTTCGTTGAGTGATTGTTTCCTATAATGGAAAACAGACAGAGTGAGTAAATTATGCTGTGCAATGCATGATTATCGTTTTTTGTGGTGTAGATTTCTTCAAGATTTAGTCTTGTGAGAAGACATGTTTGAGCACAGTGGTGATAAAAACGTCTCGAACCTGTAGTCTAGCTAAATAAGCTACGAAGCGCTCATAGGCTTCTTTTTTTCACAGGACTTTTACGAGTGCTGTCTATACGCTAGAATGTGTGGTGAAGGATAGTTGGGTGGGCGTTATAACAGTGGTGGTTGGCAATTGTATGTCAGTGCAGTAAACTTAGGAAACTAGACATGAACACTATAGACCCTCCTCGTTCTATAGAACGGCCGCATCCTCGTACACGGGACTGAAAGATCATCTGGCCAACAGTCACGAATTAGTCAAATTTTGATTTTAGTGGCTGTTTAATATTACTGAGCTGATTAATAGTTAAAAATATGGTTGAATGTCCTGAGCTGTCTGTCTCTCTCTCTCCATCCTCCCTCCTTCCGCCTATCTCCCATCCCTCTCTTTTGGATTATTTTTTTCTCTCATCTCTCCTTCCTCCTCTTCTCGTCCCTTAGCCTCTCTCTCATTCTCTCCCTTCCATCTCTCAGTCTCTTCTTCTCTCGTCTCTCGGTCTCTTCTCTGCTCGCGGTCTTTCTCGCCCTTCTCTCTCCCTCTTGGGTCCTTGGGTATGCTGTCGGTGTCTCTCCTCTCTCTCCTCTCTCTCTCTTTCTCTCGTCTCTCTCTCTCTCAGCGGCTCTACTCGGGGTGGCTCTCTCCCGTCAACGGATTCGTCATTATGGGTATTCGGGTTTCTTTGATCGGGATTCATTATCTTCTGTCTGCGGTGTTCTCTGCTATTCGTCATCGGATCCGTAACTATTCAGTGCCTCTCTCTCTACTCTCTACTCCTATTCCGTGCTCTCTATATACTCAGAACTACTAGTAGGGGTCACGGTGAAAGGATAGTGCGCAATGGGGGTAGGGGGTGTTGGGGCGCACTTAAATGGGGGGGGGACTGTTGTAGTGATTTTAGTGAAGGAAAGGGATTGATGGGGTTTGTTAAGGAGGGGGGTAGGGAGGAGGGGAGGGGGTAGGAGAGGGAAGAAGGGGTGTGCATGGAGGATGATTAGGGGGGTAAGGGGTAGTTTCGCGAGGTGGTGGTATAAAGGAGCGGTGGTGGGTGTAGATGGGGGGGGGAGGGAGAAAAGCGGGTGTGAGAGGGAATTGGGTGGAGTGGATGAGAGGACGAAAAGGATGAGTTCTGCAGCAGTTGGAATCAAGGGAATTGCTGGAGGGGGGGCTGCGGTTATTTTTCGGAGTTTTTGGTAGGGTTGTGTTGGGGGGGGGGGGGGGTGAGTGTTGGGGGGGTATGGAAGGGATTTTGGATATGCGACTGAAAGGAGTGGGGTGAGTAAAGGGCGGCAGGAGATAGAAGGGTGATGATGAAGGAGATAGGGTAGGTGGTGTGCTTCAGGGGATAAGTTACTGGCTGGGTGTTGGGGGTGATGGTAGGGGAGGGGTGGGTGTGAAAGGAGTATGGGCAGGGGTTGGTAGGACAGTGGGGGGGGGTGGGCGGTGTTGGGGCTGTCGGTGGGGGGGGTGTTGTGGGTGGATGTGGTGGGAAATGGTGGGTGTTTGAAGAGTTAGTGTGAGTAGGGGGGGATGAAGTTGGTGTAGTTGGGGTGGGAGGAGAGAGGAAAGGGGATAGGGTATAGGGAGTTATGAGGATGGTAGGGGTGATTAAGGGTGTGGGAGTGGGGATGTAAAGGAAGGGGTGCGAAGGGAATTATGAGGGAGATAGGAAAAAATGAGTGGGGGGAAGTCTGACGTGTGGGCTGAAAGGACGTCAGGGAGGCGTATGAGTAGTAGAGTCGGGCGCGTTGGTATGGCCTCTCAACTAATAACAAATTTATACATAAGTATGAAATAAATACGTCCTTCTTTAGCAATTGGAAATTAATGCAATCCCAATAGAATTGAACTTCCATTAAATATTCCAGGGTCTTAGATGATATAAACTACATTTGTCCATATGATTATTTTGACCCAGTACAGACCTGATAAACATTTTAAATAATTGCCTAAAAGGACAGGCAAATTTAACCATGTCCTCCCTTTAGAGATTCCCATACTGTTTTAAATTAGAGTGTAGTTTCAAACCTCAAGGAGCATTTTATTTTAAGCTTGGTAGAGCCATGGGTGAGAGTAGGACATGTGGTGCGCAATGTGAATTTCCTTTTCTTTTGGCTTCGAGACCAATCCCTACTTCTCACTAACAAACATAGTTTTTTGGTTTTTATTATATTAATGGATATTATATAAAAAGCGCAATCAAGAGATACAGTATGATGTATTTGTTTTTGGTTCTTCATCTTTCCACAGACTTTGTGAGGCCCTGAGAAGAGGATACACCATGATCAACACATCAAGATTTGAATTGTTCTCGCCCCAGCACCCTCCCTCTAGAACTGGAGCCATATAATACTACTACACACCCTGTAAACACCCGGACTAAATGATCTGACAGAGGAACTCTGAACGCATCGACTTTCTTTTCCCTTCCCTCCTTCTCTTATTTATTCTCTCAATCATGCCGTATTGAGGTCTAGAGACACCTCAATTAGGTGAGAGTCCTGTCTTCATAAGGGGAGCCGTTAGAAAACATAAGTCTTTTGTTGAATAGACATGTGAATACTAATTTTTTACTGCCGCCTACAGTACATAAGTAGCTAATTGGCACCTGAGTCGAATCAGCGATCTCTTGGGTAACGTTCTGATGACATAGTTCCCTATTTTACGTTCTCTTGGGCGGGTTTGGTTTATGTTTGATGCACAGAAAATAGGAGATTTGATCAAAGCAAAGACAAGAAAACTCTGGAAGACAAGAGCAGGCACAAAGTGAAAAAGAACTAAATAAATTAACTATGCAACTACAACATCGCGTTATTCTAACACTGACTGCGGTTTTAAACTACAACATGCGTTGTCTGACACTGACTGCAGGTTTTAAACTACAAACCTGCGTTGTCTGACACTGACTGCCAGGTTTTAAACTACACCAAGCGTTGTCTGAACCTGACTGCAGGTTTTAAACACCAACATAGCGTTGTCTGAACACTGACTTCAGGTTTTAAACTACAACATAGCGTTGTCTGAACACTGACTGCAGGTTTAAACTACAACATCAGGTTGTCTGAACACTGACTTGCCAGTTTTAAACTACAACATAGCCGTTGTCTGAACACTGACTGCATGTTTTAAACTACAACAATCTCGTGTCTGACACTGACTGCAGTTTTTAAACTACAACTTAGCTTTGTCTGAACATTGACTGTTCGTTTTAAACTACACATAGCTTGTCGAACCTGAACTGCGATTTTAAACTACAGATAGCATTGGCTGACCGACTTCGATTTTACTACAACATCAGCTTGTTGACCTGACTGCAGGTTTTAAAGCTGAAATCCTGCTCCCTCACCTCCCTTTCCCTTCGTCTCCCCTCTCCCTTTATTTTTTCCTCTCTCCCTTCGTCTCACCCCTTCTCCTGTTTGTTCCTCTCTTCCCCGTCATCCCCCTCTCCCATGTTTGTTCCTCTCTTCTCTTCTCTCCCCCTCTCTCCTTTTGTTCCTCTCTTCGCTTCGTCATCGATCTCTTCCTTTTCTCTCCCACATCTACCCATGTTGTCTCAACGGACCCTCTCCTCTTTGCTGCTGACACCTTTGCCTAGTCTGAGAGCCACCACATACAAAAGCACCAAACCTCTCATACCTTCCTTCCAATCTTTCTATTCTGTCTATCATAGTGCACCCTGGCACCTTTACTATTCCGTCTAAGGGGAGGAGTATTTTCTGCCCCTGCCCGCTCTCGGTTCAGCCGTCCCCCGGAATCGTGCCATCGAGCCGCCATGGTCGTTGCCATGGTCCTACTCCTCCTGCTCGCCTTATCCCCCTTTGTTCCCACATCACCAAAGGGGGAGGCGCTAAACCACTAGGAAGTGGCGCGGGGGACCCATTATGAGATTGCTGGGGAGCTGCAGAATGGCTGTGACCCGTTTTAAATAATAGTAACTGCCCAACCAGGCCAGGAGCTGACAAGCCATGTCCCCCCAACCGGAATAACCCTGGGAGGAAGAAAACGGGGTTACCGCGGGGTCCCTGGGATCCCTGGTCCTCCAGGCGCCGAGACCCCCAGGGGAATCAGGCAAGCCCAGGCCACCAGGGGCCTCCCGCCCTGGACCTAATGGTTATGCCCCTCCTTCTACAGCCCCAGATGCCTTGTTTTCAGGGCTAAGGAAACAGCACTAGGCAGCAGGTGTTAAGTTTGATGATGTGGTGACCAATGTAGGGAACTACTGTGAGCCTATACTGGGGGAATTTCCTGTCCTCTACCGGTATCTACTTCTTCACCTACCATGTTCTGATGAGGGGCGAGACGGGAACCAGCATTTGGGCTGACCTGAAGAAGACACAAGTAGGAGAGAGTGTGTGTGTGTTGTCGTATGTAATAGATGTATGTGTTTGGGGTGTGTCTGGACTGCGTTTGTTCAAAACACATCTCCATTGACCTCACCTCTGAGCAGTGTTTAAAGTGGTGTTACGCATCGGGTTTGTAGTTTTTTTACTTTTCTAAAATGTAGTCCGTTCACAGTTACTAGTTACCTGTCCAACATTGTAATCATTACTCACTTTTGATTACCCAAACTCAGTAACATAGATCTGACTATTTTCAGTTTATTTTGGGATTACTTTTCCCTTAAGAGGCCTTAGAAGAGACAAACGGATCCAGCAAATGCTTGTGTGACATCATAGTGATCTCTGTCTGTGATCGCTCCGTTGGAACAAACTTACACTTTTTCACCGGCAAGCAGAAGGATGTCATAATTAATTTTTTATGCAACACTGTTCTAATTACGAAAATATCATCTAGTTTCAAAAGTCGTTGTAATCTGATTTACAATATTTTTGAACTTGTACCACGTAACTGATTACCGTTACAGTTTAAAAAAAGATCGCGATTACAATTTAAATCATGTTATCCCCAACCCTGTACGCAGGTACAGTGGAGAAAGTATTTAGTCATCCCCCCAATTGTTTTGCAAGTTCTCCCACTTAAAAAGCTGAGAGAGGCCCTGTTTTCATCATAGGTACACGTCAAACTATTACAGACCAAAAATGAGAAAAAAACTTCCAGAAATCACATTGTATGCTATTTAATGATTTATTTTGCAAATTATGTGGAAATAAGTATTTGGTCAATACAAGTTTCCTCACTACTTTGTTATATACCCTTTGTTGGCATGACCCAGGTCAACGTTTGCGTAGTCTTCAACAAGTTTTCCACCACTGTTTGCTGGTATTTTGGCCCATTCCTCCATTCAGATCTCCGCTAAGCAGTGATGTTTTTGGGGCTGTCGCTGGGCAACACGGACTTTCAACTCCTCCAAAGATTTTCTATGGGGTTGAATCTGGAGACTGGCTAGCCCTCAGGACCTTAAATGCTTCTTACGAAGCCACTCCTTCGTTGCCCGGGCGGTGTGTTTGGGATCATTGTCATGCTGAAAGACCCAGCCACGTTTCATCTTCAATGCCTTGCTATGGAAGGATGTCTCCTCCACTCACATCTCACATACCTGGCCCCCATTCAATTCTTTCCTTTGCCTGTCAGTCGCCTTTCCCTTGGGCAAAACAGCCCCAAAGCTGAGTTCCCCCCATGGCTTCACATTAGGTATGGTGTTCTTTGATGCACTCAGCATTCTTTGTCCTCACAGAACACGACGAGTTGAGTTTTTACCAAAGTTTATTTTGGGTTTCCAATCCTACCATAGACATTCTCCAATCCTCTTCTGGATCATCCAAGCACTTAGCAAACTTCAGCACGGGCTCTGGACATGTCTGGCTTAAGCAGGGGGACCACGCGGCACTGCAGGATTTGCGTCCCTGGCGCGTAGTGTGTTTCAGATGATGGTAGGCTTTGTTACTTTTGGTCCGCTCTCTGCGGTCCTTCACTAGGTCTCCCCCGTGTGTTATGGGATTTTGCTCACCGGTCTTGTGATCATTTTGACCCCACGAGGTGGTCCTTGCGTGGAAAGGCCCCAGATCGAGGGAGATTAATTCAGTGTTCTTGTATTATCTTCATTTCCTAAAATTTGCTCACAGTGTGATTTCTTCAAACCAGCTGTCTTACCTATTGCAGATTCATCTTCCCAGTCCTGGTGCATCTACACATTTTTGTTTCTGGTGTCACTTTGGAACAGCTCTTTGGTCTTGGCCATAGTGGAGTTTGGAGTGTACTGTTTGGTTGTGGACAGTGTCCTTTTCTACTGATAACAATTAAAAGGTGCCTTAATACAGGCACGATTGGAGGACAGGAGTCCTCTTAAGAAAAGTTTACAGGTCGTGAGAGCCAGAAATCTTGCTTTTTGTAGGTGACCCAATCTTAATTTTCCACCATAATTTGCAAATCCATTCCATAAAAATCCTACAATGTGAATTTTCTGGATATGTTTTTGCTCAATTTTCTGTCATGTTGACCGTGTACCTATGATGAAAATTAAGGCCTCTCTATCTTTTTAAGTCTCGGAGAACTTGCACAATGGTGGCTGAACATAAATCCTTTTATTATGCCATGTGCCCACTTATTTATCATGGGCATTGCATATACTCACTTCTAATCCCCACAATGCATATAAAAAGTATCGTAAGTGGAGGTATACGCCGATCAAGATCAGGCTGATAGGAACGGATCAAAATGTTTAGCTTCACCTGTGATAACTATTATTTTCTTCACCTTTTCAGTGCGCGATGTGGCACCCATTGGTAGGCCTATGCGCCAATGTTCGCAAAAGGCAATTTGCGGAAAACCTGTTCTACTGCACAATGCAAACGGTTTCATGATGGGAACTCGTTATAAAAAGAAAAAACAAGAAATATGAAAAGGGAGAAAATGCAACACTATCATGGTTTCATCTGCCCACGCTACCTTTTGGCTACTCAACGTGAAAGAAAGTTTAAAGAAAACCACAGAACAGGAGAACGCACTATCCATATTGCCTCCCCTTTTCTATGGGGTTATTTTTTGGCTATTGGCTACTTTGAAGCAAGTTAAGACATGCCTCATAATATGATTAAAGCGTCAGGTTTCAAACATTAAGAACGGAAAATATAGCAATCTAATGATAGGCCTACCATTTCTGGTAGATGGACACGCCTTCCCAAAAACATCAATTAAATGTAAGTGCTACAAGTAAGTCTATGCTTGCTTGGCAGAATGATATAATTTATTTGCATGAATCCATGAATCTCATGTGCTACAGAAACACTGCTAACCAAACAACATTGCTAGGTGCCTGCACTACATTTATTAGATTTTTTCCCAGCCCTCAAAAGTGGTCTCCTGTGTGGTTTACCATATTGTTTGTGGCATTCGAACTTGATTTTCTTGTTTTTCAACAACAAAAAAGTGTGACAGAGCGAAAACCTAAATAAATAAAGACAACAACGAACCTGTTCGATTTTACTTTTTCCCTTATTATTATAATTACGTATAATATAGGGAGCGCAAATACAGTGTGTGTGTGTGTGTGTGTGTGTGTGTGTGTGTGTGTGTGTGTGTGTGTAAGAGAAGAACAATTCTCTGGGTGTCTCAGTATCTCTTCCTAATGAGGCCTGATAGCGAGGGAAAGCGACGTGTGTGTGTGTGTGTGTGTGTGTGTGTGTGTGTGTTGTGTGGTGTGTGTGTGTTGTGTGTCACGCAGACAATAGTCTAGGGAACATTTAGTGTCTTCTCTCAATTCCTCTCTACGTACTACAACAAAAGATCATTCATTTCCCCATAGGCTGTGGCCAACGAGCCATGGCGGAGTGTTAGTGCCTCGCTTATTGTCTACGATTGTGCTCTTTCATGATTGCCGTACAAAGAAAACAGCTTAGACTATTGCTTAAACTATTATATCCTTTGATAATTTGTGCCTAGCTCAATTGCTCAACTCAGATTTTGTAACACAAATATGCTTTCATAAATGGAACAGCAGGGTAAGAGAGAGTAGCTGAGAGAGGTATAAAAAGATAAGCACATTGAGATTGATGTCTCCTAGCCCATTGACTCAGTAGGTAAGGGAGTTTAGACGAGAAGTAGAGAAGAGAGTCCTAGAGGAAGAGGAAGGAGAGAGAGAGAAGGAGAGAGATGAGAGAGAGAGAGGAGAGAGAGAGAGAGGAGAGAGGAGAGAGAGGAGAGAGAGGAGAGAGAGAGGGGAGAGAGAGAGAAGGGAGAGGAGAGAGAGAGAGAGAGATCTTACAGGTGTTATAGCCTACATGCAGAGGGAGTGGGATATTTTTCAAGGCGGTTTGTTGGAAAAAATCAGTTCCTTAAAGTGATGAGGTTTTTACAAACCCGAGGCTGCTTAACAGATACTTGGACTACAACAAGCTAACAAGGGCAAAACAAACAAGTCGTTAGGCTACATTTCTAGCAGGTTCGGGTTGGTTATTTCCGTATTTTCTTGAAATCTATTTTGGACTTTATAGTAGCTTAGCTGTACTGACCCTCAGTCGAAACGGGTCATCAATTGGTCCTCTGTAGCTCAATTGGTAGAGCATGGCACTTGTAACGCTTGTAACGCCAGGGTAGTTGGTTCGATCCCCAGGACCACCCATACGTAAAAATGTATGCACACATGACTGTAAGTCGCTTTGGATAAAAGCGTCTGCTAAATGGCATATTATTTTATTATCACTAGCTTCTATAGCCACAAAGTCATAAACCCCTCCCATTTCTACAATTTATCTTCTTAAAATGTGATTTTAAACCTAACCCTAAACTTAACCACACTGCTAAACATATGCCTAACCCTAACCTTAAATAAAGATCAAAAAACAAAAATGTTTTTCCAATTTTGACTTTGTGGCTGTGGAATCTGACTTTGTGACTGTGGAATCTGAATTTGTGGCTTTAGAAGCTGGTGGAAACCGGTTGAAAGGGGAAATTACCGTAGAGGTGGTGGTGAGAAAAAGTGATTGCTGTTTCTTTCTCGTCTCTTCCCGGGCATCTCCTGCTTAAAAAGTATGCGCGCCTCTCGGCTATTCATTTGGCACGCTCTCACAGATTGTCTGCAGGAGGATTCGTACCTGGATATACTCGAGTCAAAGACGCCTGATGGAGAAATCTTCTTGAGTTTAGTTTCACTATAATAGGAAAACAGACAGAGTGAGTAAAATTACTGTGCAATGCATGCTTTTCGTTTTTGTGTGTCGATTTCCAAGATTTATCTTGGAGAGAGACATGTTTTAACAGTGATGATAAAAACTAATAGAAACAGTCTAGGCTACCTATAAACTAATAACAATTAGATACATAAGTATATAATAAATAACATTACTTGACAATTGGAAATTAATTCAATCCCAATAGAAAATTGAACTTAATTAAATATTCAGGGATTCCTTAGGATGAATATAAAACTACATTTGTCAGATGATTGGATTTTGACCCAGTAAGACCTGATAAACATTTTAAATAATTGCCTAAAAGGACAGAAAAATTAAACCATGTCCTCCATGTAGAAATTCCCAGTTGTTTTAAATTAGAGTGGTCAGTTTCAAACCTCAAGGAGCATTTTATTTTTAACTTGGTAGAGCATGGGTGGAGTAGGCATTGTGGTGCTCATGTGAATTTCCTTTCTTTTTCGGCTTCTGACCAATCCCTACTTCTCACTTAAAACATAGTTTTTTGTTTTTAATTATATTAATGGGACTTGATAATAAAAAGCGCAATCAAGAGATACAGTATATGAATGTATTTGTTTTGTTCTTCATCTTTCCACAGACTTTGTGAGTCCCTGAAGAGAGGAATACACCATAGATCACAAAATAAAGATTTGATTGGTTTCTCGCCCCAGCACCCTCCATCTAGAACTGGACGCCATATAATACTACTACCACCCTATAAACACACAGGACTAAAATGATTCTGACAGGAAGGGAACTCTGAACGCATCGACTTTCTTTTCCCTTCTCTTCCTTCTTTTATTTATTCTCTCAATCATGCCGTATTGAGCGGAGAGACACCTCTATTAGGTGAGAGTCTGTCATTCATAAGGGGAGCCGTTAGAAAAGCAGAAGTATTTTGTTGAATAGACATGTGAATTACTATTTTTTACTGCCGACTACAGTACATAAGTAGCTGAATTGGCACCTGAAGTCGAATCAGCGATCTCTTGGTAAGTTCTGATGACATAAGTTCCCTATTGTACGTTCTCTTGGGCTGGGTTTGGTTTATGTTTGATGCACAGAAAATAGGAGGAATTTGATCAAAGCAAAGACAAGAAAACTCTGGAAGACAAGAGCAGGAAAAAAGGTGAAAAATAACTAAATTAAATGAACTATGTCAACTACAACATAGCGTTATCTGAACACTGACTGCAGGTTTTAAACTACAACATAGCGTTGTCTGAACACTGACTGTAGGTTTTAAACTACAACATAGCGTTGTCTGAACACTGACTGCAGGTTTTAAACTACAACATAGCGCTGTCTGAACACTGACTGCAGGTTTTAAACTACAACATAGCGTTGTCTGAACACTGACTGCAGGTTTTAAACTACAACATAGCGTGGTCTGAACACTGACTGCAGGTTTTAAACTACTACATAGCGCTGTCTGAACACTGACTGCAGGTTTTAAACTACAACATAGCGTTGTCTGAACACTGACTGCAGGTTTTAAACTACAACATAGCGTGGTCTGAACACTGACTGCAGGTTTTAAACTACAACATAGCGTGGTCTGAACACTGACTGCAGGTTTTAAACTACAACATAGCGTTGTCTGAACACTGACTGCAGGTTTTTAAACTACAACATAGCGTTGTCTGAACACTGACTGCAGGTTTTAAACTACAACATAGCGTTGTCTGAACACTGACTGCAGGTTTTAAACTACAACATAGCGTTGTCTGAACACTGACTGCAGGTTTTAAACTACAACATAGCGTTGTCTGAACACTGACTGCAGGTTTTAAACTACAACATAGCGTTGTCTGAAAACTGACTGCAGGTTTTAAACTACAACATAGAGTTATCTGAACACTGACTACAGGTTTTAAACTACAACATAGAGTTATCTGAACACTGACTACAGGTTTTAAACTACAACATAGAGTTATCTGAACACTGACTGCAGGTTTTAAACTACAACATAGAGTTATCTGAACACTGACTGCAGGTTTTAAACTACAACATAGCGTTGTCTGAACATTGACTGCAGGTTTTAAACTACAACATAGCGTTGTCTGAACACTGACTGCAGGTTTTAAACTACAACATAGCGTTGTCTGAACACTGACTGCAGGTTTTAAACTACAACATAGAGTTATCTGAACACTTACTGCAGGTTTTAAACTACAACATAGCGTTGTCTGAACACTGACTGCAGGTTTTAAACTACAACATAGCGCTGTCTGAACACTGACTGCAGGTTTTAAACTACAACATAGCGTTGTCTGAACACTGACTGCATGTTTTAAACTACAACATAGCGTTGTCTGAACACTGACTGCAGGTTTTAAACTACAACATAGCGTTGTCTGAACACTGACTGCAGGTTTTAAACTACAACATAGCGTTGTCTGAACACTGACTGCAGGTTTTAAACTACAACATAGCGTTGTCTGAACACTGACTGCAGATTTTAAACTACAAGATAGCATTGTCTGAACACTGACTGCAGATGTCAAACTACAACATAGCATTGTCTGAACACTGACTGCAGGTTTTAAAAGAATGAAATCCTGCTCCCTCACTATCCCTTTCCCTTCGTCATCCCCCTCTCTCCTGTTGTTTCTCTCTTCCCTTTGTCATCCCCCTCTCTCCTGTTGTTCCTCTCTTCCCTTCGTCATCCCCCTCTCCCCTGTTGTTCCTCTCTTCTCTTCGTCATCCCCCTCTCTCCTGTTGTTCCTCTCTTCCCTTCGTCATCGATCTCTTCCTTTTCTCTCCCACATTCTACCCATGTTGTCTCAACGGACCCTCTCTCTTGGCTGCTGACACCTGTTGGCCTAGTCTGAGAGCACCACATACATACAGCAACCAAACCTCTCCATACCTTCCTTCCAGTCTTTCATATTCTGTCTATCTATAGTGCACCCTGGCACCCGGTACTATTCCGTCTAAGGGGGAGGAGGATTTTCTGACCCTGGCCGCCTCTCGGTTCAGCCGTCGGACGCGTGCCATCGGAGCCGCCATGGGCGTGGCCATGGTCCTACTCCTCCTGATCGCCATCCCCCTATTGGTCCACATCACCAAAGGGGGAGGAGCTAACCCAGGAAGTGGTGGCGGGGGGACCCATTATGAGATGCTGGGGAGCTGCAGAATGGTCTGTGACCCGTATAGTACTGCCCAACCAGGCCAGGAGCTGACAGCCATGTCCCCCCAACCGGAATACCCTGGGAGGAAGAAAACGGGGTACCGCGGGGTCCCTGGGATCCCTGGTCCTCCAGGCGCCCGAGGACCCCCTGGGGAATCAGGCAAGCCAGGGCCACAGGGGCCTCCCGGCCCTGGACCTAATGGTTATGTCCCCTCCTTCTACAGCCCCAAGATCGCCTTTTATGCAGGGCTAAGGAAACAGCACGAGGGCAGCGAGGTGTTGAAGTTTGATGATGTGGTGACCAATGTAGGGAACTACTATGAGCCTAGTACTGGGAAGTTCACCTGTCCTCTACCTGGTATCTACTTCTTCACCTACCATGTTCTGATGAGGGGCGGAGACGGGACCAGCATGTGGGCTGACCTGAAGAAGAACGGACAGGTAGGAGAGAGTGTGTGTGGTGTGTGTATGTATATATGTATGTGTTTGTGTGTGTGTCTGTGTACATGCGTTTGTTCAAACAACACATCTCCATTGACCATCACCTCTGAGCAGTGGTGTAGTGGAGGGTATACGCAGGCAGGGTTGTGTAGGTTACTTTCTAAATGTAGTCCGTTACAGTTACTAGTTACCTGTCCAACATTGTAATCAGTAACATCACTTTTGGATTACCCAAACTCAGTAACATAATCTGACTATTTTCAGTTATTTTGGGATTACTTTTCCCTTAAGAGGCATTAGAAGAAGACAAAAAGGATCCAGCAAATGCATTTGGTGACATCATAGTGATCTCTGTCTTGTGACTCGCTCAGTTGGAACAAACTTACACTTTTTCACAGAGAAAGCAGAAAGGTGTCATAATATAATTTTTTATGCTAACACTGTTCTAAATTAAAAAAGTAATCATCTAGTTTTTCAAAAGTATTTGTAATCTGATTACAATATTTTTGCTTGTACCGTAACTGATTACAGTTACAGTTTAAAAAAAAGATCAGATTACATTTAAATCAGTTACTCCCCAACCCTGTACGCAGGTACAGTGGGGAAAAAAAGTATTTAGTCAGCCACCAATTGTGCAAGTTCTCCCACTTAAAAAGATGAGAGAGGCCTGTAATTTTCATCATAGGTACACGTCAACTATGACAGACAAAATGAGAAAAAAACTTCCAGATAATCACATTGTATGATATTTAATGAATTTATTTGCAAATTATGGTGGAAAATAAGTATTTGGTCAATAACAAAAGTTTCTCAATACTTTGTTATATACCCTTTGTTGGCAATGACACAGGTCAAACGTTTTCTGTAAGTCTTCACAAGGTTTTCACACACTGTTGCTGGTATTTTGGCCCATTCCTCCATGCAGATCTCCTCTAGAGCAGTGATGTTTTGGGGCTGTCGCTGGGCAACACGGACTTTCAACTCCCTCCAAAGATTTTCTATGGGGTTGAGATCTGGAGACTGGCTAGGCCACTCCAGGACCTTGAAATGCTTCTTATGAAGCCACTCCTTCGTTGCCCGGGCGGTGTGTTTGGGATCATTGTCATGCTGAAAGACCCAGCCACGTTCCATCTTCAATGCCCTTGCTGATGGAAGGAGGTTTTCACTCAAAATCTCACGATACATGGCCCCATTCATTCTTTCCTTTACACGGATCAGTCGTCCTGGTCCCTTTGCAGAAAAACAGCCCCAAAGCATGATGTTTCCACCCCCATGCTTCACAGTAGGTATGGTGTTCTTTGGATGCAACTCAGCATTCTTTGTCCTCCAAACACGACGAGTTGAGTTTTTACCAAAAAGTTCTATTTTGGTTTCATCTGACCATATGACATTCTCCCAATCCTCTTCTGGATCATCCAAATGCACTCTAGCAAACTTCAGACGGGCCTGGACATGTACTGGCTTAAGCAGGGGGACACGTCTCGCACTGCAGGATTTGAGTCCCGGCGGCGTAGTGTGTTACTGATGGTAGGCTTTGTTACTTTGGTCCCAGCTCTCTGCAGGTCATTCACTAGGTCCCCGCGTGTGGTTCTGGGATCTTGTGATCATTTTGACCCCACGGGGTGAGATCTTGCGTGGAGCCCCAGATCGAGGGAGATTATCAGTGTTCTTGTATGTCTTCCATTTCCTAATAATTGCTCCCACAGTTGATTTCTTCAAACCAAGCTGCTTACCTATTGCAGATTCAGTCTTCCCAGCCTGGTGCAGGTCTACAATTTTGTTTCTGGTGTCCTTTGACAGCTCTTTGGTCTTGGCCATAGTGGAGTTTGGAGTGTGACTGTTTGAGGTTGTGGACAGGTGTCTTTTATACTGATAACAAGTTCAAACAGGTGCCATTAATACAGGTAACGAGTGGAGGACAGAGGAGCCTCTTAAAGAAGAAGTTACAGGTCTGTGAGAGCCAGAAATCTTGCTTGTTTGTAGGTGACCAAATACTTATTTTCCACCATAATTTGCAAATAAATTCATAAAAAATCCTACAATGTGATTTTCTGGATAGTTTTTTCTCAATTTGTCTGTCATAGTTGACGTGTACCTATGATGAAAATTACAGGCCTCTCTCATCTTTTTAAGTGGGAGAACTTGCACAATTGGTGGCTGACTAAATACTTTTTTCCCCCACTGTATATGCCATTATGTTTCAGTGGGCATTGCATATACTCACTTCTTAATCCCCACAATGCATATAAAAGTATCGTAGTGGAGGTATAGGCCATATCAATGAATAAGGCTGATGGAACGGATCAGAATGTTTCGCTTCAAATGTTGATAAACTATTATTTCTTCACCTTTTCAGTGCAGTGATGTGCACACAGTGGTAGGCCTATGCGCCAATGTTCCAAAAGGCAATTTGCGGGAAAACACTGTTCTACTGCACATGCAAACGGTTTCATGATGGGAACATCGTTAGAAATATAGAAAGAGGGGAGATGCAACAACTATCATGGGTTGCTAATATGACTACGATACCTTTGGCTACTCGACAGTGAAAGAAAGTTGAAAGAAAACCAATAGAACAGGAGAACGCATAATAGCATAATTGCCTCCACGTTTCTATGGTGGGATTTTGGCTAATGGCTACTTTGAAGCAAGTTAAGACATGCCTCATAATATGAATTAAAGCGTCCAGGTTTCAAACAATTAAGGAACAGGAAAATATAGCAATGCTAATGATAGGCCTAACCATCTTCTGGTAGATGGAAAAGCCTTCCCAAAAACATTCATTAAATGTTAATGTGCTACAAAGTAGTCTATGCTTGCTTGGCAGAATGATATAATGATTATTTGCATGAATCCATGAATCTCATGTGCTACAGAAACACTGCTAACCAAACAACAGTGCTAGGTGCCTGCACTACATTTATTAGATTTTTCCCAGCCCTCAAAAGTGGTCTCCTGATGTGGTTTAACCATATTGTTGTGGACTTCGAACATTGAATTTTATTGTTTTTCAACAACAAAAAAGTGTGACAGAGCGAAAACCTAAATAAATAAAAGACAACAACAACCTGTGAATTTCTGACTCATTTATCTGTTTCAATAGTAGGCCTACTATTAGCCCACTTACACAGTACAGTACAGCTTGGGTTGGCCTGACTGTGAAAGACCAATATACAGTGAGGGAAAAAAGTATTTGATCCCCTGCTGATTTTGTACGTTTACCCACTGACAAAGACATGATCAGTCTATCATTTTAATGGTAGGTTTATTTGAACAGTGAGAGACAGAATAACAATACAAAAATCCAGAAAAACGCATGTCAAAAATGTTATAAATTGATTTGCATTTTAATGAGGGAAATAAGTATTTGACCCCTTTGCAAAACATGACTTAGTACTTGGTGGCAAAACCCTTGTTGGCAATCACAGAGGTCAGACGTTTCTTGTAGTTGGCCACCAGGTTTACACACATCTCAGGAGGGATTTTGTCCCACTCCTCTTTGCAGATCTTCTCCAAGTCATTAAGGTTTCGAGGCTGACGTTTGAAAACTCAAACCTTCAGCTCCCTTCACAGATTTTCTATGGGATTAAGGTCTGGAGACTGGCTAGGCCACTCCAGGACCTTAATGTGCTTCTTCTTGAGCCACTCCTTTGTTGCCTTGGCCGTGTGTTTTTAGTCATTGTCATGCTGGAATACCCATCCACGACCCATTTTCAATGCCCTGGCTGAGGGAAGAAGGTTCTCACCAAGATTTGACGGTACATGGCCCCGTCCATCGTCCCTTTGATGCGGTGAAGTTGTCCTGTCCCCTTAGCAGAAAAACACCCCCAAAGCATAATGTTTCCACCTCCATGTTTGACGGTGAGGATGGTGTTCTTGGGGTCATTCCTCCTCCTCCAAACACGCCGAGTTGAGTTGATGCCAAAGAGCTCGATTTTGGTCTCATCTGACCACAACACTTTCACCCAGTTCTCCTCTGAATCATTCAGATGTTCATTGGCAAACTTCAGACGGGCCTGTATATGTGCTTTCTTGAGCAGGGGGACCTTGCGGGCGCTGCAGGATTTCAGTCCTTCACGGCGTAGTTTGTTACCAATTGTTTTCTTGGTGACTATGGTCCCAGCTGCCTTGAGATCATTGACAAGATCCTCCCGTGTAGTTCTGGGCTGATTCCTCACCGTTCTTATGATCATTGCAACTCCATGAGGTGAGATCTTGCATGGAGCCCCAGGCCGAGGGAGATTGACAGTTCTTTTGTGTTTCTTCCATTTGCGAACAATCGCACCAACTGTTGTCACCTTCTCACCAAGCTGCTTGGCGATGGTCTTGTAGCCTATTCCAGCCTTGTGTAGGTCTACAATCTTGTCCCTGACATCCTTGGAGAGCTCTTTGGTCTTGGCCATAGTGGAGAATTTGGAATCTGATTGATTGATTGCTTCTGTGGACAGGTGTCTTTTATACAGGTAACAAGCTGAGATTAGGAGAATTTAAGAGTGTGCTCCTAATCTCAGCTCATTACCTGTATAAAAGACACCTGGGAGACAGAAATCTTCCTGATTGAGAGGGGGTCAAATACTTATTTCCCTCATTAAAATGCAAATCAATTTATAACATTTTTGACATGCGTTTTTCTGGATTTTTTTGTTGTTATTCTCTCTCTCACTGTTCAAATAAACCTACCATTAAAATTATAGACTGATCATTTCTTTGTCAGTGGGCAAACGTACAAAATCAGCAGGGGATCAAATACTTTTCTCCAGTATGCACCACTACACCACCGCCTCTGATTCTCACTTTTACCTTTGCTTTACAACATTGGTCACTTTTAATTCACGTCACATTCCTCTGTATCTATGGGCCGTAGCAACACGGCAGCAAAATATAGAACTAAGAAAATATTATCCATCATTAAAGAGAAGTGATGCTTTACACTTTAAAATCACAGCCACTAATTTGCATTTCCACCAGTCATAGACAAATGGCGAGTGGCAGTATGCTGCCATCGGTCGTTGCCAAAGGAAAGTCTAATTAGTAGATATTATACACCAGGACTGTGCCCCAAATGGCACCCTATTCCCTACATAGTGCACTACTTTTGACCAAAGCCTTATGGGCCCTGCCCTGGTGTAAAGTAGTGCACTATAAAGAGAATAGGGTGCCATTTGGGACACAGGTTGTCACCTCAGATAGATACTGTAGATAAATAATGAAAGCGAAACTGACAGGCCACTCATCTCTCGTTCCCTCGTTCTCTTTCCCCTGGTACTAATTAAAGACAGAGGGGCTGATGAGGAGAAGAGGAAAAGAAAAGGTGTAGGATAAATCACAGAGCTTTAATTTGAGGACTCTAACACAACTATGTTTTCATCTTAATTCATCAGTCACCACACTGACACATTCAATGTACCATTCAGTTCTCCGTGTGTCTTTCTGAGGCGTTGGGATGAAGCGGAAGTCAAATTTTAGTTGGACCTTGTGTTCAATTGATTAATAAGGTGATCTTAATCTTCATCTTTAAATGTGTCCTAAGCATGTATTTGTGTTTAGAAAAATCAGAAAGAGGTAACACACTATATTTAAGATACCTACCTGGCTTCTGCTTTATGTCCTCCAATATTGTCATTCCAGTCATCTCATCATGCCATTAAATCATTCATAACTCTTAGATTAGATCCCCTGAAACAACTCTCCCACATACCCCCACTTCCCCCTCTACTTCCATCTCCTTCATCTACCACCCTCTATCCCCAAATGCCCCACTTCCCTCGACCCCCCCACCTGAGATAATTTTTCCAGTTGACTTCAACGATCTTCATGTACATCTGGATCTGTTTCCCCAAGACAGTTGTTTTAGACATGTATTTCGCTTACTTTGGTATCAGGAACTAGTGGTGTCTGTTAATGTCAGATGCTCGGTTAGGTTCTGCAGGTTGCTGGCAAGTCTATTGGCCAAAGGTGTAGTGTCGTCTTAATCTGATCACTCTTTTGTTGCAGAGAATTTTCCAGGAAATGTAGGTGAGCTTTGTGATTTACATAAATTCACTGAAAACCCGCACACACAGTTATAGTCCAAACCTTGGGGGAGGGCGGTTCTACTAAGCTAATATATGGAATTGTTTGAAGATGGTCATACCATGGATAATTTAGCTATTTGATTTAGAATTTTAGGATGAAACATTGAATTTGTCCTTACTGCTATTAGCACATAGAAACGCATTGAATGACACATTCATACATGGCAAAACAAAATAAATCAAAACGACTTATATTTTGAAGTGTCTGTCCTATATCTGAGAGAAAGTTTGGACACACCTACTCATTCAAGGGTTTTTCTTTATTTTGTACTATTTTCTACATTGTAGAATAATAGTGAAGACACCAAAACTATGAAATAATACATATGGAATCATGTAGTAATCAAAAAAGTGTTAAACAAATCCAAATATATTTTATATTTAAGATTCTTCAAAGTAGCCACCCTTTGCCTTGATGACAGCTTTGCACGCTCTTGGCATTCTCTCAACCAGCTTCATGAGGTAGTCACCTGGAATGCATTTCAATTAACAGGTATACCTTCTTAAAAGTTAATTTGTGGATACAGAAGATAACCCTATTTGGTAAAAGACCAAGTCCATATTATGGCAAGAACAGCTCAAATAAGCAAAGAGAAACGACAGTCCATCATTACTTTAAGATATGAAGGTCAGTCAATACGGAATATTTCAAGAACTTTGAAAGTTTCTTCAAGTGCAGTCGCAAAAACCATCAAGCGCTATGATGAAACTGGCTCTCATGATGACCGCCACAGGAATGGAAGACCAAAGAGTTACCTCTGCTGCAGAGGATAAATTCATTAGAGTTACAGCTCAAATAAATGCTTCACAGAGTTCAAGTAACAGACACATCTCAACATCAACTGTTCGGAGAAGACTGTGTGAATCAGGCCTTCATAGTCGAATTGCTGCAAAGAAACCACTACTAAAGGACACCAATAAGAGACTTGCTTGGGCCAAGAAACATGAGCAATGGACATTAGACCAGTGGAAATTCGTCTTTTGGACTTGAGTCCAAATTGGAGATTTTTGGTTCCAACCGCCGTGCCTTTGTGAGACGCGGTGTGGGCAAACGGATGATCTCCGCATGTGTATTTCCCACTGTAAAGCATGGAGGAAGAGGTGTTATGGTGTGGGGGTGCTTTGCTGGTGACACTGTCTGTGATTTATTTAGAATTTAGAATCTGGTTTGGGTTTAGTGGGACTATCATTTGTTTTTCAACAGGACAATGACCCAACACACCTCCAGGCTGTGTAAGGGCTATTTTACCAAGAAGGAGAGTGATGGAGTGCTGCATCAGATGACCTGGCCTCCACAATCCCCCGACCTCAACCCAATTGAGATGGTTTGGGATGAGTCGGACGGCAGAGTGAAGGAAAAGCAGCCAACAAGTGCTCAGCATATGTGGGAACTCCTTCAAGACTGTTGGAAAAGCATTCCAGGTGAAGCTGGTTGAGAGAACGCCAAGAGTGTGCAAAGCTGTCATCAAGGCAAAGGGTGGCTATTTAAAGAATCTCAAATATAAAATATATTTTGATTTTTTAACACTTTTTTGGTTACTATATGATTCCATATGTGTTATTTCATAGTTTTGATGTCTTCACTATTATTCTACAATGTAGAAAATAGTAAAAATAAAGAAAAACCCTTGATGAGTAGGTGTGTCCAAACTTTTGACCGGTACTGTATAAGAAAGCTCAGGAAAAAAAATTAATACATGTTTACCGTGGAATAACTCATATACCTTTTTACATGGAAATGCTCTATTCACTTCCATGAATTATTCGCCCCGGTACTGGGTTACCTTCAGACAAGTCTTGCGAGGCTTGTGGGTTGTAGAGAGAACGGAGAACACCATCGTGTTTGTGAGAGTCTCATTTTTCCATAGTGGGGTCATATTAATTTCTAGTCCAAACTGTTCGGACTCTGAAGATGTTTTCATGAGAAAACCGATTTTCTGGATGTCTCATGGTCTGACAAACCGCTAGTGGATTGAGATGCAGCCCATGCAAAAAACATATCTCCAGCTTAAACATACTTATCCCCTTTTTCTCCCCAATTTCGTGATATCCAATTGGTAGTTATGATCTTGTCTCATTGCTGCAACTCCCCAATGGGCTCGGGAGAGGCGAAGGTCGAAGGTCGAGTCATACGTCCTCCAAACATGATCCGCCAAGCCGCACTGCTTCTTAACTCACTGCTCGCTTAACCCGGAAGCCAGCCACACCAATGTGTCGGCGGAAACACTGTTCAACTGACGACCGAAGTCAGTTTGCAGGTGCCTGGCCCGCCACAAGGAGTTGCTAGAGCACGATGAGCCAAGGAAATCCCCCCGGCCAAACCCTCCCCTAACCCGGACAACGCTGGGCCAATTCTGCGCCACCCTATGGGGCTCCTGGCCATGGCCGGCTGTGACACAGAAACAGACAGATTTTTATGGGGATTTTGTATTGTTATGCTAATTTGATTCTAGGGGGTCATCAGTATTGCACTTTTCATGTAGCAACATTATGGACTAAACATTAAAATCCTGTTGCTGCAGGATTATTTTGCTACGAAAATACTGGTCAAATTAAGATCCTACATCTGTAGCTGATGTTTCACTCTCTGAACCCTCCAAACGGTGGGTTACATTCTGAACACCTGAGACAGAGGAGGTCTATGCTTGAGGTTATATCCCTGTCAGTCAATTGATGGTACAGTATTTACAAAATGTCCGCTTTGTCCAAAAGGCTGTATTCCTCCTGATTTCGGGGTCAAAGGACCCTTTTCTTCCATTGCCGCAGATGCAGCTGTATTGCAACTTTGTGAGAAAGGTGTGTGTCCCAAATGGCACCCTATTACCTATATAGTGCACTACTTTTGACTAGAGCCTATAGGGCTCAAGTAATGCGCTATAGGGATTAGGGTGCCATTTGAGACGGACCCCACAGTGTCTGTCTATAGCTGTGGCTTCAACATTGTTGTGAAATTTGTCATAATATCAAACAATAGTTGAAACGTGTATTCATTCTTTATATCCACAAGGACACAAGGAGTTGGTCTGACTAATCATTAATCAAACAAAAATATCAACTTGGAGAAAATGCATTCTCCTTCAAAGTGAAATGTGAACACCCACACCAGCACCATGCTTCTCCACAGGGGCGTCATGCACCCCCAAAAATTTGAGGGGGCACAAAGTATGTGAGGATGGCTTGTGGCTAGGCCCCCTGTTCAGAAGTTTTTCATTTTTCAAACACCTGAAACACCATTTTCCTGCAATCTAGTGGCATAATAATTATGCCTAATTCTATGTAAAAAAATATTTTGCTGCCTATCTAAGCATACCTCGAGACATTTTTTTGTGATCCAGTTGACATTTTTGTAATTTAGCTGACGCTCTTATCCAGAGCGACTTCCAATTAGTGAGTGCATACATTTTTCATACTGGCCCCCCATGGGAATCAAACCCACAACCCTTGCGTTGCAAGCGCCATGCTCTACCAACTGAGCTACAGGAGGGCCAATAGCCAAAGCTGTCTGTATCCTCCTGACTGGTGGTTATTTTTTCTAAAGAAACTAAATATGCTTCACTGCATCTCTACTAAAATCTGGGTGAAAGATTTAAAGGAATGTGAGTCTTATTCAATACATTTAGTTATTGCTTGCTTTTCTAAAGTCTACCAACCTTGCCAGCAGGCATGCCAGCTAAGATAGTTAGACAAGCTAGCTACTCTAACTTCATTGATAACCAGTGGCGGCTCCTGAAAAAATTCTCAGGGGGGGCAATTTTTCTGATGATTTAGGTGACCTACACACATTTTAACAAATATATGTCCAGCAACAACATGAAGACAGGGGCAGCATATAAGTCAATACCAGAAGCATTTATTGACTGATCTCAAAAGTGTTGGCTTACCAGGGTTGGTGGAGCCCTCAGTTTCATCTTTGCCTCGCAAAGCTAACTCAAACACTCCGCAAAACTTCACACACTGGATTAGCCGGCTGAGGATGTGGCGGTTCTTGCTAATGTCGTAGTAAATATATTTGTTATAGTGAATATGGAATATGATATGTTGAGTAAAATGTTGTGCTAAGATCTATTTAGGTCAGGAGCTGGTTATAAGTTCTGTTCCTATCCAATAACAATGGACAAAAGGGTCCTATCTTGTCAGCCTTGTCAGTTTCAGTTCTCCAGTAAACTTGTGATTATCAACACTAACCTCATCGTTGTGGCGGCGGACAGCTAGCCTGTATCCCTCATCCAGTTGAGTGGGAATGTTCAC